AACGAAAGTCCGGTAATGTTACCGCCTGGAACGAAACCTTGGAACGAAAGTCCGGTAACATTACCGCCTGGAACGAAACCTTGGAAAGAAAATCGAGTGAGAGTTACCATCTCATAATTGTTTTCACTCTAAACAATTTCGCAGTGAGCGAATCCGCCAATCCTGTATATGAAAAATTACATTCAAATTTGGAATATTATTTTTTCTTTTTTTTATCGAAAAATATACCTGAAATGAAGAAAAAAATGAACGCAACTGAGGTTTCTAATTCAATTACTGGCGGAAAACTGTTTTCTTCAACTTTAATTACGATCCACTGTGAACAAAAATATATTTCCACCCATAAATTTCATCGGAAATTTTCTCAACTTTTCGAAAGAAATATCGTTTCTTATGTGTCTATTGGGGACGCTTAATAACAAGACGCCCTCTATGAATGTGTGCGTTAAGGGTACACATCTACGATACACAAGCAAATGGGGGCTTGTGTGAGCGCGTGTGCGTATACCTCTTTGACGGCCATATTGGCAAAAAATAGCGCCCTGAACGATATTTCCTGTTCCCAATATGTTTTGATATGGAGAACTCAGAAAGAAAGTTTCAAACAGCCATTTGGGATTGTTCCCCAAAACTTAATTTTTTTTTCCTTTTATCGGAAAGTTCAGAAAGTTTCCTCACCAAAACATCTTTCTGATTTAGGTATTCTAATTAAAGCAGGGGTGAAATGAAGAGAAAAACAAAATTTATTCCTTCAAAAAAAATAGTTTTTTAAAAATATCTTGGAATCAGTATGAGATAGAGAAATTTTTGGGAATATTGTTTGGTAGAGCAAAATGAGATCCACAAAAAACTCATCTGAAAAATTTTTCATCTACCGTAGGTTCAAAGATATTCATCAAAAAATCATCTTTGGATTCAGTTGCCAATGAGTTTTTCTACAATATCTCAGAATTAAAGCAAAGTAGTAATTTGTAAGATAAGATAAGGTCTAGAAAAAAGGTTATCAGAAAAATCCCACTTTCTACCTTGCATTCCGAGATATTGTCCACAAACTATTTCCCATAAAAGCCATCATAGACATGTCTATGGCTTTTATCATAAAAGACATAGACAAAGGAATTGATTTTTTACAATATCTCAGAATGCAGAGGAGATTTTTGTGATAACCTTGTGATAATCCAGTTGTCAAGTAGTTTTATTTGTTTTTATTTTTGTTCAAAAAAATAATTTTTATTATTAAGATAAAACCTGAGTCTCGGGGAAAGCTCAAAACTCCCCCATTCCCTCAAAATGAGAAAACGAACCGTTGGGACTACTAGAAGAATTTAAACATCTTCTAAAAACATTAAAAAATTATTTCGAGAGAAAACTGTACAAACAGGGCCGCCAAATCAGCGAGTTAAGACGTGAGAAGTGTCAAGAGGGAAGGGGGAGAATTTACCTCCCCCCTCTGACGAAAAATGAGACAATGAACCACGCGTGTTGAGCGTCGGTTGAGTTCTCCCCGAGACGAGCTATAGAGTATTGTTGAGTAGTGCAGAATAACTGCGTTGAGTAGAGGACCGCTTCGAGAATCAGAGGTCAGCCTGAGGAATCGCCTACCCCTTCTGAGTCTGGAGCAGTCTGGCGCGGATGCTGGGGCCTTGGACCGGATTTTCGTGAAATCCCCAAACATTGACGCGAATTTTGAGAGAAATATTTTGTATAAAGTTTGTATAATTGAGAGTCGAATTAATCGAGAGAAATTATGTATTTTTGTGGAGCTGAATTTTTGAGTTGAGGAGAGTAATTTAGAGTCGAGTAGTATTTTGTGCTTCTCACTGTTGTTTTGGATTTATTTTTGTCTATTGGAATTTTGCGGATGCTGTGAGTTGTGGAGCGCAAAGTTAATTAAATCCGTTGAGAGGATGAGGAAATTGGGAGTTTTCCCACCGCGTCCCCAATAATAACCGATTTTCCGCACTATCACATAATTGGTGCATAGGATTATTTTTTTATAGGAAATCGAATTTATATAAAAATTTAGTTCTGTTTCTACTACAATTATTTTTCCGTTTTGTTAAATTAAATTATCAAATATATTATTTTGTTTCGAGTTAATTTCGTTGAGCCGTATTTATTTCTGGGAATCCAAAGGATCCGCTAGGGGACAACGATTCCCCTCCCCCTTGTTATTAAGGGTCCGGACAGAATATTTTCTTGATAATTTACAAGTTTTGAGTAATTGTGGTTTTCGCCCATTTGACCTGATTCAAGCGATATAAGGGGGCTGGCGCCTAGGGTAAGGCATACGTCGGGTGAACTGTAACTTGGAGATCAGTTGTGACAAAAAAAATTAAGTCAGAGAAAAATTGTAAAAATTGAGTTGTCTGAAGATCGTCACAACCTTTTTTGCAGACCTTATTTTTTCCTACAAGAAAGGTTCAGATTAAGGAATCACTATTTTGCTTCAATTTTGAGACCTTGTTGGAAAACTAATTGGCAACAGAATCTAGAGATGATTTTTTAAAGAATATCTTTGAATCTACGGTAGATAGAAAATTTTTTACATAATTTTTGTTTGTAGATCCCATTTTGCTCTACAAAAACAACTTTTAGACAAATTTATCACTTCTAGATTCCGAGATATTTTCGAAAGACTAAGACTAAGACTTTTTTTCCCTGCATTCCACCCCTGGATTAATGAGAGGACTGAAATTAAAAATATGTATCAATTTTCTGAATCTTCCGTTGAAAGATAAATAATTAAATCTAGACAATAAACTAGACACATCGAATCAATTGATAAGTGATATGCAGATAGTAGACTAATAAATAATTTTCTCAAAATATTAATTCATTGAATACGAATATCAGTCTAGATTAACGCAAATAAAAAATGAAATAAATAGTTGACTAAACGCAAATAAATGATGAAATAAATAGTTTTTTACATTTTATATGAACGTCTTTTCAACAATATTCATATTTGTCTAATGCGGTCCGAGTGCAGGAGTGGGTGCCGAAATATAGTCCAAATGATTTTAAGGGTGATTTTCCAACCGGGGGAGAGTCCTAGACTCCACTGGACAATGTTGTCACAACTCTCGTTTTCAACTCTGCTTTCAGAGTTCAAAACCAAAGTTTATAACAGAGATGTCAGACAAGATGTAAATGTTTTTTGAGGCCCGAGTGCAAGAGCGGGTTGCGAAATGCCGTGCAGATGATTCTAAGGATGATTTTCCAACCAGGGGAGACTCCTAGACCCCACTGGACAATGTTGTCACAACTCTGGTTTTCAACTCAACTGTCAGAGTTGAAAACCAGAGTTCATAGCAGAGATGCTAGACAAGATGTGAGTGAGAATCTATCGTGGAGCCACGGTAAAGTTTACCGTGGAGCGTGCGAATAGACACTGCCTTGTTAAAAATGACCAAAAAAAGACTTTTTGTGCCAAACACGGGAAACGTGCGTCGAGATTGAAATTTTTTATTGCAAAAATAGATTTAGTATATTCAAAAGAAATTTATTCCCTGGACAAGCAAGAAATGTAACGTCGAGCACTGCTTTTTCGTTATTCGATACTCCTATACGTATTTTTCTTCCGGAAAATTCACGTTTTATACGAAACTAGGGATAGCAGTTTGTCGTTTCGGTCATTCAATTATCACCCACAAAGAATGAATTCTTGAATTAAATAATAATAATGATATGACAGCCATCTTGTAAGTTACTGACAAAATATTTCATGAACTGAACTTAAACTTCCCTAAATGATATTTTTCGTGTTACGGGACCTGAAAAACGTCAATTTCGTGGCGCGCAGCGCCACGACCCGAAAATTAATATACACACTTCGCCATGGAAAACATATCACCCTCCCCCACGTGCTTGTCATCGTCGCCTTCGGCTCGGAAGGCAATCTTGCACGTGGGGGACGGTGGTCTGTTTTCCAAAGCTCGGGCATGTAATGTACTATTTATCCTGAAAAGACACCGTCTTGTGTGAATGATCCACCTCTTGGAGTAAATATTTCGTTGTTGTTGAAAGCAAAGCAATTATTCAGGTTTGAGACTTTCAAATTTGAACCAAACAATTATTTTTTTGGTAATTTTCAACTAACGATTTTATTGACCCGAACAAAACTTGTTCCAGAACTTGTTCGTTTTTCTTTCAGTGTATGCTAGCAGCCTGCATTTCTTTATTTATTATCTCCTACTAGGGGGCTTTGCCCCCCCCCCCCCCGCTCGCATCACGCGCTCCCCTCACATGACTGTTCGAATCTGACAGAATAGTTTTTTTTTTCATTTTATAGTATTATTTTAATCTTTTTAATGAAACTGAATTCATTTTTATACGTGGTTCTTGCATAAAGGGGTTCTATATACCTCTTTAAAATCTTTATGAATGTGTTACCCACCCTTTCCTATCTCCCCCCCCCCCATTTCCCTCCCTATATGACCTATTTTTTCTCAATACTGATTTGTAATTTTACACCGATAATTTATAGTTGAATTTACTCAAGATCAATCAAATTTTTAGTTAAAATAAAATAATGCACTCCTAGGAGTATTTTAAATCTGTTGTATAACAGTTTTAATTTAGCACTGTATTAAGAGAATATATTGAGGAATTTCATTCCATTCACCTGGAGGAATCGTCCGGTCGACCTTGTGCTGACATTCGGGCGACCCTTGGCCGACCTTGATAAAAACTCCTTCGTAACTGCAGAAGATATTTTTGCAATCAAAATATAAAAATTCAGAATTCCTTCTTGCCCTAAGTTCCAAGTCATCGATATTTGTTGAACAGCGGAAAGTTTGCTGAAATCAAACTCACTAATCTCGAATTATTAATAATTAAAAATAAGTTATCCTTCAATGACGAATAGTTGTTTTTGACTTTTTAATAGTTCTTTAAAATATGAAGAGTTGAAGAGAATAAGTTGAAAACTCAGAAAAAATCGTGATTTGCCCAGAGCTTATCTCTTTAATCATAACAAAATACAAGAATTTCTAATGCGTACATATAATATGGTTTTTAGAACTGTTACAGATTTGTTGTATCACTCCAATAAACAAAATTGTTTCTTTTTTCTAATCACAGAACTCTTACAATCATCACTAACAATCAAGACTATATTGATCTGAAAAAATGTGAGATGTTCTTCTTTCAATGTTTTTGATATATCTAATAAAAAAAATCTTTCCGTAACTAATCAGTATTTTTTTGCAATCAGAGTGCGAGACTCCAAAATCCCATCTCACTCCACGCTTTATATCATCCATATTTGTTGAACAGACGAAAGTTTCATTAAACCAATAAAAATTAAATTTCAATAAACTACACCAATGAGTCATTGAACACTGAAAATGGCTCATTCTTAAATGAGAAAAAGTTGTTTTCAAATTATTCAATAGTTTACAGCAATAATAGCCAATGGTCACTTCATAATTACTCAAAAGTATAATGAGTCAACAAATATAAATTGAAATCTGAGGAGAATTGTGATTTCTCCCGAACTTTATCTCTTTAATCATAACGAAGTACAAGAACTTATGGGAGAGTGGGGCAATATGGCCATTTTTGATATATATTTTTTCAATTTTTATAATTCATTGATCGATTGATGAAATGAGACAATTTTTTTCCTTGCAGAAAAGAATTCTTCCTCATCGTGATGATGCCAAACTGGATTTAACTGATGAATTTATTTCTTAGTTATAAACAGTTTTTAAAAAGTCAACATTGTCTATTTTTCCCCACCCTCCCCTATAATCCATATATATCAGCAACACATACCATCAGTTTTCAGAACAGTCAGAGATTATTTCAACAATGAAACATTGTTTTCTTCACTCAAATACTCCTCCCAATAATTTTCAACAATGTAGTTTTCAGGTTCACGAAAGCCTCTACAATCGTTGGAGAACATTCCAACTTTGAAGGCAAGTACGAATCCATGTCTTCCTCAGTCGAAAACACCTCGAACATCTTGTACAATAATACTCCATTGTAAACTCTGTGCAGAGGTATTGAAGTGTAAGGACAATCCAGTATTGAGTTTAATATCATTGAGTACTTCAAACAGCTCTGCAACTGCTTGAATGCATTCACCACTGCTTCGTCATCATCAGAGATATCCAAAGAACCCATTCCAAAATGAGATACGAAGAGTCGAGACGCTGCAATGCATTCCTCCCTCGAAACATCCTCTATCATCTTCATCAAAGTCACCCCTCCCAATCCCCCATCAGTCCTAGATCCTGAAGGAATGCTTTCGTAGTCATCTCCAAATGCTTTCGAGAAAGATTCCTCAGACCTGATGACACCAATCTTATCATCAACAACCCCCAGCAGCATTGCACAGATCACCGAGTACAGATGACCTTCCTTCTTCTCGGGTAGAGCCTCCTGCTTCAACCAGAAAACAACAGTTGCTGCATAGAGTCTCCAGCAGTCAGGAAGATCCATCAGAGAGTCTGCCCCATCAACCCCAAGAACTTCGTCGATTATTCTCTTCCTCTCCGATAACTCAAGCTCCTTCATGTCCCTGAGGCTCACCGAAGATGTTCTTACTTTTATACTCTCCCAACCAACTTTTCCATTCTCGACGAAGAACAACTCCAAGATGTTCTCTTCATCACCTCGAAGAGAGCCTACAAGACTCTGGATTGACATCAGTATCGGTAGGCTGATTTTGCTGACGGGAGAAAGAGGCGATTGCTCTTTCGAGGGATTTACCAGTTCTGTGGAGAACATGAACAATTCTAGTGGAAGCCTGAGTACCTTCCCTTTCAGGTAATCATCAATCAGCCACTTTGGAAAGAGAGCAATGATTTCTTCCTCTGTGTATCGATGATTCTCGTCAATCTTCTTGACGTCCTCTGGGCTTTCTGCTTCTGCAACTTCTGTGTCTCCATTGTTCTGTGGTGAGACAAGCTCCTTCATCTTACTCTCAATGGTAAATGCCTTCTTATTCTCCTCGAGGATCTTGGATTCCAATTTATCAAGCCCGAGAACATTCAGGACTAGAGGGAGACTTCCATATGTTCTTGTGAGCTTGTGAATATCATCAAGAACCTTCCCTCGATTTTCCACGTGAATGTACCCTAGAAGAGCTGTCACAGCTTCCTCCATGGATGCATAAAGACTCAGCCATTTGAGGGTTTTCTCGATTTTACGGTGAGAAACTGCTGAAGCTCGACTGTCGAGGCCCTGCAAGTGTTCATGAAATGGTTTCATCAGGCTTGAATCGAGGAGAGAGTGTTCATTTTTGTTTCCGAGGAGCATCAAGGCTAGAGGGAGCAGAGATTCATCGAGATAATTGAAGTATTGGCAAAATTTGGATACTTTGTAAAGTTTGCAAGGTATGAAGAATCTCTCTGGATTTTCCCCGTCAGCCTCACGTCGAGTTGGAATTAATTTCTTCCGAATGAAGTCCGATGATATGAACTTGGATCCATAAACAAAGAAATCCCCATCGTTTGATAGCACGGGGCAATCGAGAGCTTTGGCAACTACCGCCATGATCTCTTCAGCGTCAGTAAGAGCTTGCACGTATTTTATATTTCGCTTCTGCATAACCTCGAAAAATATGGAGCGTAGTAGCGGGGGGCGAACGTAGCGAGCCTTTGCAGGATCCCTTTGTTTTTCCCCATATGTCGCGAGATAATCGGATTTACTCAATACTCCTATCCCATCGAGAAAGACGATTGGAGTTATCTTGCAGAGTGCGAGAGAATCGAAAAACTTTTCAATGGCCTCGTGAAAAATATCGTACTGACCGCCAAACTTCCCACGTTGTTTGTCGGACATTTCCAAGATATCAGAGTAAATATTGACAGCATCGATGATCAGATATGTATTATGGAGATCGTATTTCTCCAAGAAACGATGAGAATTCCTATTAATGTAGGAAGTTAGCCCACGAATACCCATTTTTAGGATTTTTTGGCAATCAATTACTGAACAGGGAACAACTAAGCATTACTGAGTCTTCTGGACGTCTCCTTCTGAGCATTGTCAGATCTTCTCCCAAAAAAGTGGGAGGCGCTGTAGAAGAAGCGGCGGCGGTAACGAAAGCGGGAGGATAAGAATTTGTTTGAAATAGTGCTCGTTCCGTCGCTACGAAATAGTAAAACGAATCATTCATCAGTAATTTAAAAATATCACTTACAGACATTTAATTATAATGAATTCCATACGGCCGAAGTAGTCAATTCCACTGTTTATGCAAATTGTAATATTTGAGTATTTTCCGGATTCAACTCAAAGGTGAAACAACATTTTATTTTATCCTCTATGTGGCAACAGTCGACAGTTGAAAACACCCCTACTATAATTATGAAAAATACCGGAGCGATACATTTTAAAGTCCATTGGATAACCTGAAAAAAGGCGTTATTTTCAATGGATCGATTATACACGATGTCCCAAAATTGCGGACTTTGTTTTTGAGGGTGAAATTTGGAGTCGAAAGTTCCTAGAGGTTTAGGAAATGTTCCAGGTGTAGTTCGAATTCCAGGACCTCGACCTCCGCCTGCACCTCCACCTGACCCTAACCCTAACCTTCACCCTGACGTTTGATCCATTTTCAATCGTCATGTGTTGAGTAATGGAGAGAAAATTTCGAAATGATAATTTTTCTCATTTAAGAAAGATTGAGTTGAGTACCATTGGCTCACAGGGTGGGCAAAGTGAAAAAAAAATCGATGTATATTTCCATTGCTTGAAAAAAGTGGTGTGACCACCCCTTAAGGTCATTAAACCCTCATTATCGCTTCATTCGTCCCTCCCGTTTGACTCTTATCACCGTTTGATCCTTATAATTACTCTCTCCCGTTGCAAAATGACCGGGGCCATAGGTATCTGATAAGAAGCCCGCGGAACATAAACATTCGGGAGGCGATAAAAGTGCCGAGAGTGGGCCTCGAGCGCTCGGAGCGCGAGGTATCTTATAGGGAGGTATCTTATACGAAGCCTCCACTGTAAATTACCAGTATTTTATTATGTACCATAGAAAATCCAGATTTTCAGTGAACGACCCAACCTTGGTCGTAACGGCCGTAGATACACGGACGCATAGCACTGCCTCACGGGCCGAATGAAAAAATAGTATATTTCTGTACTGCTTCTCAGGGTTGGGCATCTCGGACTAAAGGGAGTTTTTTACGTGACGACGTAAAAAACCGGTAATTTACCTACAGGGTCGTAATAAATGTAAAAAATGTAAAAAACTCATATAACCTTACAATTAACAAAGAGATGGCCAAATTTCACGAGAGTCAAACGTGACGAGGGTCACAAGGGTTACAAGGGGACCATCAAATTTCACGAGGGTCATATGGGTCGCAAGGGGATGGTCGAATTTCGCGAGATTCAAATGTCACGAGAGTCACAAGGGGATGCTCAAATTTCCCGGCGGTCAAACGTCACGAGACTCAAGGGGGCGATTAAACTTCACCGTATTCCTTTGTGACCCTCGCAATGTTTGACCCTCGTGCGATTTACTCATTCCCTTGTGACGTTGGACCCTGTGGAATGGACCATTGGGACATTTAACTGTGGTAAAATTTAATTATTCCCTTGTGACTCTCGTGACGTTTGACCCTCTTGAAAATTTAGCGATCCCCTTGTGACCTTCGCGAAAATTTGACCATTCCCTTGTGAGCCTCATGACGTTTGACCGACGTAAAATTTGGCCATCCCCTTATGACCCTTGTGTCATTTGACTCTCGTAAAATTTGATCATTCCCTTATGACCCTCGTGAAATTTGACCATCCCTCTGTAACCCTCGTGCCTTTTGACTCTCGTGAAATTTGACCATTGGTTTCTGCCCCTCACGAAGTTTGACTCTCGTGAAATGTGACCATCCCCATGTGACCCTCCTGACGTTTGACTCGAAAAATTTTCCAGCGCTTGTGACCCTTGTGACGTTTGACCCTCGTGAAATCCAATCATTCCCTTGCGACTCTTGTAATGTTTGACCCTTGTATAATTTGACCCTTATGGCAAAAACTATTGAGAAAAACGACAAGTTTCCTCGAATACCGGTAGATGGCGCCACGTGTCGTAAAAAATGTAAAAAAACTTATCAGGTAATTTACTCAATTTTTTATATGTAAAAAACTCTGTAATTTACTCGAGGTAAGTTACTTCCCAACCTTGCTGCTTCTCAAGATTTCTCGTCTGGGAATTGGTATTACATACTTTCCAAACTCGAAAACTTGAAAATCACTACAGAAAAATATTGTTCCTGGGCTGTGTGATGTTATGTCCTACCGATGTTACTAGGAGGACAGTAGCGCAGTTGATTTTATTTCAGCGCCAAAACTTGAATCTGGATCCGTTAGCCGCTAAACCTCTGAAGAGGACTCCATCGAAGACGACTCGTTGATAATCAGGATAATTGGATTAGGGTTAATTCGTTGAAATAAATCCAGTACACAAGTGCTTAGGAGAGCACATCAAAACTTTATTCCACTACTTCAACTTTTCTTCAACTTCACCGTGATAACATTAACTTTAGAAAACTCTATATTAATAACTTTGAACTCAAGAAAAACTAATTTGAAGAGAGAAGCTGGAGGTTCGCTATATCGAACAGCCACGGTGGGACTGACTTAATCTTAAACTTATTTCTAAGGGTTGGGTCCAACAACCCCCACTTAACGAAAAGTTGCGCACGCAAGCTTTTAACTGAAGCCAAGGCAAAAGTCAAGGCGCAAAAGAAAATAGGGAAAGGGAAAAAGGGGCAAAAGGAGCTGAGGAGAGCGTGTGACGTCACGTTCTGCGTCTTGGGAGGGTCTCAGGCCCTCAGCCTGGCAATACAATGAACAAAGGAGAGCACACGTGTTGGAATAGAGAAAATTTATGATACACAGAACGGAGATTTTATGACTCTAACTGTCATTCTGTTGAGTGAGTATTTTTCTTTCGAGATTTGGGTTTTCGGAAAATGTTTACGTGACGAATTTCAAGAGTTGTAAATAATTGAAACAAAGCTCAAGTGTTTGACATTTATGTTTTCTGTAACGGTTTTTCTCACGCCCGTGAAGTTATTTCTCTTCCCTTGTTCATTGTGCTGTGTTCTTTCTTTTATTATTTCTCATATTTTATTTTGAATTTAATTAATTATTCGATTAATTTGAATCTCGCGGACTATTACCGTTAATAAAAAGCGCCATCTATAAACTTGGACCTCAGGACATCACAGTGATGTCTTGACGCTGATTTTGATGGTTGGTAGCAATGATCAGCCATCTTTGTCCGCGATATTCAAATTAATATAAAAAATTAATTAAATAACGTAAAATCTTTAAATACTGAGAAAAGTCGAGGATGAAAGGACAATGAACAGGGGACGAGAAACAACTTCGCAGGCGTGAAAAAAACCGTTGCCGGAAATAATAAATGTCAAGTACTTGAGTTCACTTCGTAAATTTACAGCTCTCCAAAATTCCTCAAAACAATACTTTTCTTGAAATTCTGAAATATAGAGAGAAAATAAACTCGACGGTTACGGTCGTAAAATTGTTAAGTCTCGGTTCTGAGATATTTAGAAAGTCTCTCTGATTCACGTGTTCCACACGTGTTGAGTGTTGAGTTCTCCTTTGTTCATTGTATCGCGGAGCTGAAGGGCCTGAGACCCCTCAAGAGGGAATACTGTTGACGTCACACGCTCCCCTTTCTCCCTCTTGCGCTTCCCGATTTCTCTTTTAAGTTACCCCTCTTCCCTTTACTCCGGGCCAAGATTGCGCGCGCAACTTTTGGTCTAGTGGGGGTGTATGGACCCAACCCTTAGATTTTTAGTTTAAGTTAGAGACAGTCCCATCGTGGCTGTTGTTCCGACAACTGTTCCAGCTTCTCTCTTCGATTAGTTTTTCTTAAAGTTTTCCATAAAAGTTTTATCAAGTGTATTTGTCTACCAAAGATTTCAAGTTTAAATTAGAAGTTTGAAATAAATAGTGTTAATGTGCTCTCCTAAGCACTAGTGTTTTGATTTATTCTGGAATACACCTTCAACCCATTTATTCAAAAAATGAACGAGTCAACATCGATGGAGTCCTCATCAGAGGTTTAGCGGCTAACGGATCCACATTTCGAAGTTTGGCGCTCGTTATTTCAAAAAGGCGCCACTGTCCTCCTAGTAACATTGATAGGACATAACAGCTGTTGCGATGGGGTTTCTTTACTCGTGTGGTTGGCCAGTCCTCGCCTAGGGCTCGGAGGCCAACGCCACACGAGTAAAAAACCCCATCGCAACAGGTGTTATGTCCTACCGAAGTAACTAGGAGGACAGTAGCGCCAATGAAATTTAGAGCGCCAATTTTTGACTGTAGATTCGTTTGCCGCCAAAGCTCTGATGAGCACTCCATCGAAGTCCAATTGTTTAATCCCAGAATATTTGGTTGGAAGGGTTGAATTGTGAAATAAATTCAACACAAGTGCTTAAGAGAGCACACAAACACTTTTATTCAAAATACTTCAACTTCAGACTTTAAACTTTGCACTACAAAAAAAAATGAATTTAATAAACTCTAGAAAAACTCTACTGAAAAACTATTTGAAGAGAGAAGCTGGAAGCTGAAGGCTTCACCACCAATTTCCACGATGGAACTGACTTAAACTTAAATTTAACTCCAAGGGTTGGGTCCGCAACCCCACCGGACCAAAAGTTGCGCGCGCAATCCTGGCCCAGGGGAGAGGGAAAAGTGAAACTCAAGGAAAAGCGGGGAAATGAAAAAAAAGGGGAAGAAGGGGAGCGTGTGACGTCGTGAAACTTCGTCGCGAAGGGTCTCAGGCCCTCAGCCTAGCGAAACAATGAACAATGGAGAGCCCACACGTGTTAGTCACGTGAAACAGAGAACCTTTCGAAATAACCAGAACTGAGATTTTACGACATGGGACCGTAACCGTTAAATTTATTTTCTTCTCTAAATTTGGATTTTCGAGGAAAGTGTTTACTCAACGAGAATTTGGAGGG